TCAGGGATAAGGAATCCTTAGAAAACAGGAATAATATTGTTCTGTAGCCCTATTATGCCAGCAATAAGGAATCCTCAGAAAACCGGAATCCAATAGGGGAATACTTAGAAAATCCTCAAATCTTTTTGGATATATTCATTTTGAAGTGATTTGAAAAATAATGCATTGAGATAAGTGAGTTAAATTCAGACATAAAACAAGATATGAAATGCATTGAAAAAATGCATTTCATCAATACAAAATGTAATTAAATAATTATTTATTAAATTATTTTTATTGATTTAAATAATAAAACGTTGATTTAGGGGTAAAACAATTTTTCAAAATTTGATGTTTTAAATTTAAACCTTATTATTTATGAATTTGATTTAATTTTATGTTAAATTTATCTTATATAGAATTTATTGATTTTTAGCGAAATATTTAAATATAATTATAATTTATTTTTTATTAATATTTTCATAAAAAATTATATACTTGCAATCGTAGTTAGTAAAATCAAAACTAATTTTAATATTAAAAAATAGAAGATAAATAATGCTAAATAGTATGAACAATATGTTTTCATGAGAAGAAATAACAAATTTGCGGTATTAATTATTTAAGGCTTTTTTATGAGGAGAAATGACTATTTAGCATTTTATGCAATAATTAATTGAACTTAAAATGATCTCCTAGCTACATATTTCCTAAAAACTCAATCTCTTAAAACATTAAAATAACTAAATGAGATCGATATAAACAACTCAAGAAACTAATTATAGTAAATTCCTAAAAATTGAAAACAAAAAGTAATAACATATTTAGAATGGACAATTCCTATTTCAAATGTAAAGAAAAAGACAACTAGCAAAAAAAATGTCAATGAAAATTAAAGTAAATTACACCTTACATCCATGACTTTTGTACAATATTTCATTTTCATTCATGGTTTTAATTAAAATTCAAAATTTTCATTCACGAATTTTTTAAAATATTTCAAATTCATCAATTTCAACAATTAATCTTTAAAATTTGACTAAATTTGTCATCTCAAAATATTGTGCGTGTGTGTATAACCAAATAAACATGCACGTGATAAAAAGGTGGGAGTTTATTTGTAACATTTTAAGTTGAAATTCTTGTCATATGCACATTCATGTGATATTAAAAAAGATTTGTTCTGTTAATTTTTTAATAATGATTGATGTAATAGATGAATTTATAATATTTTAAAAAGTGTAAATGAAAAAATTATTTCATAAGATTGTGGATGAAAGTAAAATAATATTACACAAAGCTTATAGATGCCTAATGTATTTTAATAGTAACAGCTATCTTAAAAGTCTACGATTGTGATTTTAATTATCACTACTTAAGTAGGGAGAAGTAGATTCACATTAATTTTACCCAAAGTGATACAAAGTTTATCTTTTAAATATTGTAGCACTTGAAAACTTTTCGGTCACCAACTTATCAAGAAAATAATTTCAGTCAACGATATTAACAAAATGTAGTCAAATTATTTTACTTTCTTAGTGTTTGCTTCCAAAAATAAATTATAAAAAAGGTTTTATTTAAGAACAAAAGAATTTTCTCTCCCAATTTAAATGGATTAAGTTTCCATTTTTTTTCTTTCGGCTCTCTTATCTATTCTTCCATTCTTTATATTCCTCCTACAAAGTATAGTTGAAAGTGTAAAACCACAAATAAATAGGCTTACCTGTATTTTAGCCGAAATGATAAAAGGAGTCAATTGTGGACAATCATCCACACACAACTCTTGTAAAGATGGCAGCGTGAGTACAATGTCATTTCCATCCCTTCCTTTTAATTCAGGCAATCTTTCCAATGTAACCTTATTCAGCTGCGGAAGACCTTCAGCCATTGATATTGGAAAAGTATATTCCAATCGAGAGCAATCCCCAATCCTAAGTGTTGTCAATTTCTCCAAAATTTGACCATGCGACAATGAGGAAAGAGATGTCAAGTTATTGCAGCCACATATATATACTTCCCTTAGACTTTGGAGATTGATGTTTGACACTTCCGTTTTGGGAATTATTTCTTCCAATTCCAAGCATAAGGATATGTTCAGGGTTTCCAGTTGTCCAAGACTTTCAGCAACATACGTTGGGAAGAGATATCTCAATTTATTGCAGTAGTCTATTGTTACAACCTTCAAACTTTGTAAGCTTACATGATGACTGGGTCCTAGTTGTATGCTCCTCAATTCAGCAATCTGAAATAGCACTTGCATCTCATCATAAATTCCATAAACCATGATTAAAATTTGACAAACTATAGCATCTTCGAATCATGTGTATGTACGTCCATGTGAACGTTCATGTGGTAAGATGGTGTGCTTTGACTTTTTAATTAAAACTCAAAATTTTCATTCACTAGTTTTTAAATTCAAATTCATCAATTTGAACAATCAATCATTAAATTTTGACTAAATTTATCATCTCAAAATATTTTGTGTGTGTAACCACGTGAACTTGCATGTGATAAAAAGGTAAGAGTTTTTTAAACTTTTTAAGTTGAAATTCATGTCATATGCACATCCATGTGACATTGAAAATGATATGTTCTATTAATTTTTTTAACCATGATTGGTGTAATAGATGAATTTAAAATATTTTAAGAAGTTTTAAATGAAAAACTTGGGTTTTATAAGATCATGGATGAAAGTAAAATAATATTGCACAAAGCTTATGGATGCCTAATGCATTTTAGCAGTGACTGCTATCATAAAAGTCCACAGTTGATATTTTAATGATCATTATTTAAGTAAGGAAAAGTAGATTCACATTAGTTTTATGCAAAGTGATACAAAGTCTATTTTTTGAATATTGTAGCACTTGGAAACTTTTCAGTCATCAATTTATCAAAAAAAAATTTCAGTCAATGACATTAACACTATGTAGTTAAATTATTTTACTTTCTTAGTGTTTGATTCCAAAGATAAAATATAGGAAAAAATCATTAGAAGAAAATTTATAAAAAAATTTTATTTAAGGAAAAAAGAATTTTTTTTCTCTCAATTCAAATGGATTAAGTTTCCTTTCTTTTTTTTTTTTTTTTTGGCTGTCTTTCTATTCTTCCACTCTTTCTATTCCTCCTACCAACATAGTTGAAAGAGTAAAAACACAAATAAATAGGCTTACCTGTATTTTCCCCGAAATGATAAATTGTGGACACTCTCTCATTTTCAACTCTTGTAAAGATGGCAGCGTGAGTACAATGTCATTTCCATTCCTTCCTTTAAATTCAGGCAAACCACGCAATGTAACCTTATGCAACTGTGGAAGACCTTCAGCCATTGAGATTGGAAAAGTATATTCCAATCGAGAGCAATCTCGAATCTTAAGTGTTGTCAATTTCTCCAAAATTTGACCATGCGACAGTGAGGAAAGAGATGTCATGTTATTGCAGCCACGTACATATACTTCGCTTAGACTTTGGAGATTGATGTTTGACACTTCCGTTTTGGGAATTATTTCTTCCAATTCCAAGCAGTCGGATATGTTCAGCGTTTCCAGTTGCCCAAGACTTATAGCAACAGACGTTGGGAAGAGATATCTCAATTTATTGCAGTTGTCTATTCTTACAACCTTCAAACTTTGTAAGCATACATAATGACTGGGTCCTTGTTGTATGCTCCTCAATTCAGCAATCTGAAATAGCACTTGCATCTCATCACAATATTTAACTTCCAACCTTTCAAGACTTTGTAGAATTGGAATTCCACTTGTCATGTCCCAGCAATTATCTATAGTCAAAGTTTTTAATTTGAGCAAAACCCCTTGCGGTTGATGACCACTGCACAGCTCTTCCAATCCACGCATATTTGTTAAAGATAATTCTAACAAATTAGAGAATGCATTGGTTAGCTCCTGTTGCTTTGTAGTATCAATGAGACATTTCATATGCTTGCAACTCTCAAGATCCAGAGAAGTCAGCTTACTGAATACCACTTGGCCCGACTCCAAGCTTGGAACAAGATTTTGGTAACCCACCACATTTTTCAGATTAAGAGATTCTGAAACCCCAAATAACTGCTTGCATGCCTCTATTACAGACCCCTTAATTTTTAAAGATCTCGAGAATGGGCAGATCTCAAAGTCCATCTTCCCTTGATAAAAATGAGAAAAGCCAAAGCCAACACATACATAAAACCTTTGTAATTTACAGAACACAAAGTCTCTTGGAATATCTTCAGAATAAACCTCTAAAGATAATATAATCAAGTTTGACAACGAATTCAACTCTGATAGACTGGCAAAGCTTTCTTCTTGTACTGTGTTCTCAGTGGCCCAACTTAAAAATTGACAACCATGCAAGTATAGTTCTTCTAATTTGGACAATCTTCGTATTAACTGAGAAGGGATTCTTTGTAGTTGTACACAATATGACAAATCCAACAATTTAAGATTATCCAAATTACCTATTTCTTCTGGCAATTCTTTGATATCAGAGCAACTAAATGAAAGAACTTCAAGTTTCTTCAACTTCCCAAGCACTGAGATGTCCAAGAGTTTGCAACGTTCCAAATGAAGAGTTCTGAGGTTTGTTTGAAACTGAAATGCATCTGGAGATATCAATCTAGAATTCAGAGTGCAAGCTTTCAATGCTTTCATTCCTTCAAAGAATTCACTTGAAGTTATCATGTTCCCATCTCCACCAAGTAAAAGAATTTTGAGATTTGGGCATACCAGTCCTTTAGGAAGTTCAACAATCCGACTAGTATTGAAGGAGACCGCTTCGTAAGACTCAAGACTTTCTTCCTTTGGCCACATTTCAACAACGTCAGATTTTATCATAAAAGAAAACTCCTTTCTGTTTGATGCTATCCACAAAGCAACATCACGAACCAGGTCATGCATTTTAACGTGCCTTTCTCCACAATTTAACAACAAACAAGAATCCTTGAGGATGTCCATCGCCGCAAGCACTTCGCTTCTCACTTCTTCAATTGAGCCCATACCTTTACACAACTCTAGTCCCCATGCATATCTCACCAGCTCCTCTACATAAATCTCATGATCTTCAGGAAATAAAGAGCACAACAAGAAACACATCTTGGTCTCCTTATCATTCAAATAATCAAAACTCACCTCAAGAACTAGGTAAGCATTTTTTTCATCAATGTCCTCTATGTCATCCAATCTCCGGTTTTCGAGTCTCCTATATGCCGCTTCCCACCTATGAAGATTTTTACCTTTTAGAGCACTTCCCAATGTAACTATAGCTATGGGCAGACCTTTACATTTTTTGATAACTTTAGATGCCACATGTTTAATAACATTAGAAGAGTCGTTTAAACCAGCTTTGGCGTTAAATAAAGTCCAAGCTTCATGGTCATTTAGACAACCAAGAAGTATTGTCCTTTGACATTCCATGGTAACACAAAGGTGTTGACGGCGTGTTGTTAAAAGAATTTTGCAGCCTTTATGATCATCAGCAAATGGAATTCCTATCTGCTCCTTTAAGTCAATTTTTGCCCAAACATCATCAAGGATTATTAGAATCCTTTTCTCCTTCTGCAGTTTCGACCAGAACTCCTGGATTGATCTTCTTCCTTGGGCATTCTTCATATCGAAATCCAAGTATTTTGCAATTTCATCTTGAATTGTATCAAAGTTTGGCTTTTGAGACACAGTAGCAATCACAACTTCGTCAAACAGATTTAATTTTTTGGCATGAATTCCAACTTCACGGACTAGGGTTGTCTTGCCCACCCCTGGCATCCCCCACAATCCAATCATGCTGACCTTGTCGTCCTGTAAGGCTTCAATTATCTGATCGAAGCCTTTTTTTGAAGATGCAAAAATCATAAAATCCTTGGATGAGAGAAATTCTATGGTTGGATTTGTACTACGTGAACGGTAGGCCACTCGTCCAGGTTGACTAAATTTGGCGATCTTCTCAATAAGCTCACCAATAACAAGAGTGTTCTTCATTGCTTTCTTGCTTAACCAATACTGCCTTCTCCAGTTAGGACACCAAATGAAACATCTCATATTTCGTTGCATTTCATTTTCCAGAGTTTCATCAGATAGGATTATGTCTGCCTGTGATAGCAAATCTTTGACATCATCTTCAATTTCTTGAAGTTGCCTTTCAGCATCCTCAATGTCATGTTGCAGCCGATCCCGTGACTTTTTCAGATCTTCTTTTCTTTTCTTGAGCTTTTCAACATTGTGGTGAAAACGGCAAATGTAAGTAAATTGACGTCCTACTGGCTTCGCCACCCAATCCACGAGCAGTGTTCCCACGCTGTTAGAAAGAGCAGACTCGCAAAACCCACAAGCCATTCTTGACAAGCTCAAGTTGAACAAACTTCTGCCAAACATAAAAATATTGGCTATGAGATAAATCATGGTGAAGATGCCAAAAAGAAAATTAAAGAATAGTGAATGTGAACTCTCTAAACATACCAAGCAAGGTGAAGATAGTCCAAAGTGTGACAACCAACTGCTTTTTCTTCAGTTTTCTGCCAAGTAACACTTTTTAAGCACGTAATGAGGCAAGGTGAAGACAATTCAAAGTATGAGAACCAAATGCCTTTCTTCGGCACTCTACCAAGCTGAAAACACGTGATAAAAAACAATATTTTTAGATAATTTATAAGGAAACATTACTCAGAAAACATGAAATAAAAAAATTTGTGTTAATAGGATAGAAAACCAAAAAAATCGTATCATACTGTAACAGTTAAGCAACAGTCTAAAAACGATTAATTAGTTGTTTGGTCAAACAATTTTAGTTGATTTTTTTATTTTGGACACCAAACTGTAAAAAGTAATGATTTAGTCACCAACATTATAAAGATTTGTTTCTTTGATGATCATACCATTTAGAGTTAAATGTTGGATGAAGATACTACAAGAATATATCATCTGCAATCATATCACTAACAATAATTATAGTGTGCAATTAATCAATTATAATATATAATTGTATGAAGCACATCAAAATTTATATGAAGTACACACTTACATAATTTTTTATTGGAAACACACCACCTCCAATTATTGTAAAACAATTAACCAATTAAAATTCAATATTTTTATAGGGTTTACAAAAAAACATGTGAAATCCACACTTGGTGAACCTTTATATAATTTTTTTGATAATTGATTAATTATAAGATTATAATAAAAAAATTTAGATTGATTTTTTTTATTATGATTGGATAATTATAACATTAAAGAAAAAAATTTTTGTAGGATCACTATTATAGTTAGACTGATATTCACACATGGCCTATGCTCAATTACCACATGGTTACGCCTAGAGGTATAAATGATACATTAGTACTCGCAAGCTACTCGGGTTCGATTCGAAAAAAACTCAAATTCGATTCGATTATTGTCGAGTCGAGCTCGAGCTCGAGTAGTTCGACTTATCGATCGAATCGAATTCGAGTATTCTTATATCTGACTCGAGTAGCTCGCGAGCCTAATCGAGCTTTTAAATTTAAATATATTTTTATTATTTTAATTAATAAAATATTTCGAGTCCGAGTTCGAGTTCGAGTTCGAACATGAATAATCGAATTCTTGTCGAGTATACGAATCGAGCTTATTTTTACATACTAATCGAGCTTATTTTTACATACTAATCGAGCTTAATCGAGCGAGCTCGAGTAGCTCGAATTCGATCACGAATCGAGCTCGAGTTTGAAAAATAAAACTCGATCGAGCTCGAGCCGAGTATCGAGCCCCGAATTGTGAGTCGAGCTCGAGCTCGAGCTTCTCACTATTCGGCTCGGCTCGGCTCGTTTACAGCCCTAGTTACGCCTACGTGAATTTATTTAAAAAATATATCCTTGTAAAAAAATATCAATTTGTTTCATTTTCTAACTTCTCTGACTACCCTACTTCATTTAATAGCACCGCCATCGTACGCCGCTCGACGGCACCGTTTTCCTTCCCAAAACTCAACCAAGTCTTCTTCTTGATCCTCCCTTTCCTCATATCATATCAAGTCTTCCTAAAAACTGATAGAAACTTCTAAATTTAAAACAAAACCCAAGACCATAAACACTAGAAACGCCACCCTCAACCACTTATCACACCAACGGCACCGTTTCCTCTCTCCTCTCCTCCGGCTCCCCATCACAAGGAGAGAAGCTCCAAAAACACAAGATCAAAAGACCCTAGAACCCAAAAAAAAAAAAATTATCCGCCTTTCTACTCCACTGCAACCAACTTTTTTTGTTGTTTTTTAATTTTGACAAAAAAAGGTTAAATGAATAGTCCAACCTTACCAGTTCTAGATAGAAGTAATAGATCCGTAGCTTTCAATAGGAAATTTGCCTGAGAAATAAAACTAATCCTTTTCAGATCTGATCTGCTTCACTGACAAAATTGCAAATTAGATAAAAAAAATGTAAGAAACACACTTTATTTGCATAAAGAGAAAGCAATGAAGAAGTTGTTGCATTTACCTTGCTTGGTGCGTTCTAAATCTGCCAGGATTTATTCATGACGGATCATTGAAAGCAAAGAAAAGAAATTTGAAGATTAGATTTTTTTCTCTGCCTTTGTTTTTTTTTTTGGTATTTTTTAGATGAAAATGACAAACAAAGTGGAACTAAAGAGAAAGAAAATATTGAAGAGTAGCTTTTTTCTTTCTTTTTGAAGTTACAAGGAAAGAAATGTATAATCAAACAAAATTCCACTGAAGTTTTTTCCTTTTTTTTTTTTCTCTTTTTGAGTTGAAGAAAAAGCCAACAGAGTAGAAATCAACCTTAAAACTCTTGACCAAAAGAAAAAAGAAATCAAGCTGGCACTGAAATGATCAAAAAGCTTGGAAATTGATTAACTTTAATAATTAAGTATGAAGGAAAAAATAGAATATGATATCCAACAAACGGTCAAAACAAGCAATAAAAGATGGTGCTCTCGTATTTATCACCTCAAGATATTCATAACAGATTTTTAATTTGTTGATTATTTTCTAAATTAATTACAAGTTTACTTGTAGCAGATAACTATACCATGTCTACGTAATTAGTAATGGATATCAAATTTTTTTAATTAATTATAGTATTTGAAATAAAATTTCATTATAAACTTTAATTTATTATTAATCTTACACATTATTTTTCTTTTTAATATACTATATTTTTTATCTGTATTCATCAGTGCAAAAAAAAAAAAAGTAAATAATAAAAGGTAAGTAATGAACTTTATAATTATTCAATTCTTACAAGAAGATATAGAGATAAACTACTTAATTACTTCAAGAATGATTAATTATCATGATTCACCACATAAAAAATTAATTTAAGACAAAAAAAATTAAATTACTAATGCACTTCAGCTAAAGATTTAAGACATTTTTAAAAAGACGTACGATATAAACAGCTCAAAAATACAATGAAGATATAATCATATTTTTCATACTCTTAAAAATTATATAATTAAGTTATTATGAAGCAAATACACAATGATAATTCCAATGAAACGGGGAAGCTCTAATCTAAGGCAAGTTTGGCTATTCATTAGGCCTTCTATGAAGGCTACGTGGGCAAATTTCATTACTTTTCCATATTGGTAACATGGTATGATTAATATTTTTGATGCTCATCATCTTTAACTGAATTAACTTCACTAATAAAGTGTGAAAGATAGAAACAGAATTTGATATTCAACAAACAGTCAAAACAAACAATAGTCAAAGATAGAGTTATCGTGTCTAACGGTCAATAAATTAATTGGAATATTACTAATCCAAAGATACCTGTGACAAGTTTTTAATTTGTCGATTATTTTCTACATTAATTACAAAACTTATTTGTTGCAGATGACTATACCATAACAATTTAGCTACTCAAAGATATTAATTTTTTATAGTTAATTATAGTATTTGAATTAAAACTTCATTGTAAACATTTATGTATTATTAATCTTATATTATTTTTCTTTTAATATACTATATGTTTTTTTATCTATATATGTCATTGTGAAAAAAAAAAAAGTAAATAATAAAAGAGATTTGGTTTTTGAAAAAGTTAGATTACTTTGAAATTTTAATTGTTGTAATCTGATTTTCATATTTAATTTACTGTATTTGATTTCTGAAAATATTTTAAGATTCTCAATAATGTCCAAATAGCTTGAAATCATAAACCCACAACCCCCTATAGTTTGCTAAGATTTCAATAGAAAAATTAATTTTATCTCACTTTTGACCTAAATAATAAAATTTTTTTGATCTATTTTATCTTTAAAAATCAATGTAATTATATGATAAATAAAAATCAATTTTAAAACTAAAATGGGCATTCATAGTCACACAATTAAATACGTAATAAATTACATATAATAAAAATAATATGTTTAAAAGAATAAACGTAATAGATAATTACAAATCTAGATTTTGAATTTTTTATTTTCAAAAGCATTAAATTTTTTATATATAACATGTAGTAGATTAATTAAAATAATAACAAAATAAATTAAATATTTTTATATAAACAATATTTTTAATTTGAAAATGTAATAATTAATATAATATTGTAATATAAAATTTATAATACTTTTAATTACGTTTTTATGTTAAAAAATATAATATTTGATAAATAAAAAATGTTATGTATATTAACAGTTACATTTTTTGTTATAGAAATGTAATCATTGATAAATGATAATTTTTTATTTTTATAAGTATTATATTTTTACATATAAAACGTAATTAATTATTTAAAAAATAAAAAAATAAATATAATATTTTTTTAAATATCAACAATATTTTTAAATATAAAACATAATAATAAATAAAATATTTATAATAAAATATTTTAACTATATTTTTATGTAAAAAATATAATTTTTAATATTAATAGTTTTGTTTTTCTAAACGTAATAAATGTGTTAACACAGCACTCTGAATATCCTAATATATGAACATAGCTACTCATTGTCCTTTATAAAGTCACCTCTCCTTCATTTATTACCTCTCACTGTACGTGGCCTACTGTGGCCAAAATTAATTGGCAGTAACTTTTCTTCTTTACTTTTGTCAAACAAGTAACAGGTAACATGGAAATTTATATTTTTAATTCACTCCAAAATGTTATATATATATATATATAAATTTTGCTGCCTTCTGTCTCCTGGGCATTTAAAATTCTGTTGAGTTTATGCCACTTGTTGCTGTAGACTTTATTAATTTGTCGAAACTGCAGTATTAATTAATTAATTTTTATTTTATGATGTTGGATTTATCTCTTTATTATGTCATTATGCAAAATAAATTTTTATATTTTATTAATTTTTTAAATCCATGCTTTGTGCAATAATTTTATAATTAGATAGTATTAGAATTTATAAAATTTTACTAATTATACGATTTTATATTTTATCATTAATTTTTTTTTTTTGTACTTAAATTTTAAAATAAATATGAAAAATCTCAATAGTAAAGATGAATTAAATTGTTCCTTTTACCCTAACAATTAAAACTTAAGTTGCTAGCTTTATTGTTTTTTTTAGTTATTTGATGATGAAAGAAATATTATTTATATCACAAATTTATTCTATTTTTAATTTTTTGATAAATGTGTTTTTTAATTTATCTAAAAAATAAGCAGAATAATCTTGTTTACTATTATAAACAGTTTACCAAACTATATATGATAAATACAAATGCAAAATTAAGTGTAAAAAGTGTTTAATGAAATTTTTCCACACTGTGTTCAAACGTTATCCTGTTAATAAAGTAACAAAATATATTAATGAATTCTTATAAATTTAAATTGCAACTAAAATTATATTTCTTAGAAAACTTATTTTTTAAGGAGTTAAATCCAAAAAATTCAACCAGGCCAATCATATTGCAATTGAATTCATTAAAAAATAATTGTTGGAACCAAAACTCTTCAAACATTGATTTATATTAATTACATTTAAAGTGTTTTTGCTCTATTAAGATTTAAGAATTAAATATTATTTGTGAAATCTTTTAATCAAAATATGTTGTACACATAAAAACAAAAATATAGAGACATAAAGGGAATAATAGGTTCTTAAGTTTTAATATAATTACATCTTAAAATTTATTCAGAAGAAAAATTCACTACCTCTTACATAAAAATTGATCTTATGAATTACGTCGATGAATTTGTAATTCTAATGCTAAAAAAGATATGTTACTAAATAATTAGTTAGAAAACTTAGATAAAATATTTTTTATTTTTAATTAAAAAAGTATGAGACTCAACTTTATTAAATCCGATAAAAAATTTTAAAGTGAAAAAATAAATCGTACAATAAAATTTAGAATAAATAAAAAATAACATTTTATTTTTATTTTTATTGTTGAATTTGATTATCCAATTAAAAATAAAAAATAAATGTAAAACAATATAATTCTTCTTATAACTTTTTGAATTATTAGATGGTAAATTTAGAATATATAAAATTTTCAATTAAAACTTTGTTATCACACATTAGAACTTCTTTAATATTTTAACTTTGTATAAAAATTAAAGTGAACTTATTCCGCAAAATAAAAATTTTAAAATTTTACAAGACAAATAAATTATTTATACTTTTAAAAATAATACTTTTTAATTAATAAATTTATTAACAAATATATTCGTTAATGATCATAAAATTAATTATATAATATATAATAAATCTTAATAATTAATTGTGATAATTACTTTTTTGGGCTTTCTTTACCTTTTTGTTTTATTCAATTTAAAAATAATATTTATATATCAATTGCGTTTTCTTGACTTTCTTGACTTTTTCATTTTTTTTGGATTTAAAAAGTAATATGTATGTAATTAATTGCGTATTTTTAGTTTTCTTTATCTTTTCGATTTCTTTAATTTTAAAAATATATATTTATCTATTAATTATGATCATTGGTTTTGTCTTTTGAGTTTTATTATCTTTTGATTTATTACAATATTGAAGATAATATTTACTTATTTAAAATTAAATTAATTATGATCATTGATCGTATTTTTTGGCTTTATTTACCCTTTTATTTTTTTTAATTTTAAGTATTAATTGTGATAATTGATTGTATTTTTTATCTTTTAATTTTTTTAATTTTAAAGAGATATATGAAATTGATTATGTATTTCTTTCTTTGCCTCTTGGCCATACCTTTTCGTGTTTTTCAATAATATTTATCTATTAATTGTGGTAATTTATTATTTATTTTTTGTTTTTGACCTTTTCATTTTTTTCAACTTTAAAAATTATATTTATCTATTAATTGTAATAATTAATTGTATCTTTTAGGCTTCTTTTGTCTTTTAGTTTTTTTTTAAATTTTAAATATAATATTCACTTATTTAAAATTAGATTAATTATGATTATTGAACGTATTTTTTAATTTTAATTGCCTTTTGGTTTTTTTCAATTTTAATAAAAATTATTTTTATTTATTAATTGTAATAATTTATTATATTTTTTTACTTTTTTTACCTTTTCATTTTTCATCATTTTAAAAAGATACATATTATATTATTGTGTATTGCCTTTTTTGCCTTTTGGATTTCAACAGGATAAAAATATATAGTAATATATATATATATATTTA